AACACCAAAAAAAAAAAAAAAAGACTATTATATTTCTAAAAAATTGTAAAGTATAAAAGCAGCTAATGTAAACCTTGAGTTTAATATTATGTCTTCATATACTTTCAATAATAAAATACTCTTTAAATACAAAATTCTAAACAGTTATTAGTATTTTCATATACTTTTAATTGTTGTCTCTTTTGTAATTGCAAATTGCCTTAAATCTTCTTTGTTAAATTTTGTAAAAACTCTATACTAACTTAGTTAAATACAGTAACTTAGGAGATTATACAAAGTATTCACTAGCTACAATCACTCTAGTTACTTACTATCTTTAAAGAAGTAGATATAGGATAATACTATAATAATTTTTAGTTATTAAAAATCAAAAATATAAAAATATATGTATATTTGCTAGATTTTTATATATTACTGTATAAAAATATTAATTAAAAATCAGAAGTCATCTATTTAATTAATTTCTTTGCAAATTACAATAAATACTAGATACAATTTGATAAAGAAAGTATATAGTTTTTATTTGGCTAATCAAATTTATTAAAATGAAACAACTTGATAACAACTAGTTGATTTGAAAATTTTGACCAACTTTGAATACTAGCTATATCCTCACTAGTAAATTTTGAGTGATCTTGAACAAATTTTATTTGTAATGTAACTTTACTATATATACGTATTTGTTATTTTTCTAAAGATCATATCATCATATAACTTTTTAATTATTGTACAAGTCTGAGAAAAATATGTGATGATAGTCTTTAGATATAAATCATTGAAAATATACATAAATAATCTTTAAAACAACCATCAAAAAAAATATGATTAAAAATTAATTTATCTTAATTATTAATTTTTAAAGATTATTTTTATAATAGATAGATTTTTATAAATAATCTAAGATTGTTCCAAGTATTTAGTTTTCAAAATATTTTAATTGCATAGTTAATTTAGAAAAATTTTATTATAGATAATCTTTAAAGATTATTTGAGTATAATTATTATATTAATTATCTAGAAACTATTTAATTATATGACTAACCAGATTTTTCTATAACAAAGAAACAATAGCCAGATATCATTATAGAATTTGTAAAAGAATCTTCAAAAACCTCAACAATTACAGCATTTACAAGATTTGCAAGCAATATCAAAGCCAAAACATGATGATAACTTGTGAAGCATGTCTATTAAAAAGATGTCAAGAACAATTTCTTCAACTGCTTATACAGAAAATCTTGAAGAAATGGAAAACATAGTATTTGAAGTAAAGAATATTAGCAATTTAGATATGAGCAACATTGAAGTTAATACATTCCCACAAAATGAATCGTATTATTTTCTTGAAATTTATCAAATAAAAAAGAACAATCTATTGATCAAGAAATAATAGAAGATTCATCAGATAAAGAAGATGATGAATTGTTAGTAAACCTTGATAATGATGATTTTGAGCCTAAAAATCTTCAAAGAGCAATATTAGATAATGCTTTAAATTCTATTAAAAGTGTAAATAAACTGGAATATATAGTAGAGTAGCCAAACAATATTTACAAGGACTTCATAGAATTAATTATAAAAAATAATATTTTTAACATTATCTGGAATAAAATTATTAGGTTCTCCAATAAGTATAGTAATTTGGAAATATCAATATTACCAAAGTTAACCAAAAATGAAAAAGATTACTTTAATCAAATAAAATTCTTTTCAATAGACTTTAAAAAAAAATAGTAGAAAAGTATTCTGAAAATAACATTATACTCTATTATTATTCATTATTTCAAGCAATTTAAGCTTTTTTATAGTAACAAGAAGTAAATAGTAAAATTGTTCTCAAGGATATTCTAAAAAAAGTAAGAATAATAATTCTATGATATATACTATTGGCTATCATGAACTGTAGTACTTGATGTCAGAAACTTTTATTTCTCAAATAGTATACTTGTGTATTATATATGAATCAGACTAATTGAGTATATAAAAATGTATAATTAATATATTGGGGTATAATGTATAGTATAAGTTGAGTTAAAAGA